TCCCCTGGCTGCCTCTCAGTACACACACTTGCTGACTTGTTATCAGGGGGTTATCTTCAAGGTTATCTTCAAGGCCACTCTCCTTTCTAACAATCAATGAACCGTGTTTGACAAGCTGTGGGTTCCTTGGGGTGGCAGCTACATCTTGCTCATCCCTACGTGCCCCTTGGCTACCAGCACAGCCCTTGAACACAGTAGGCACTCAAACCATGGGCTCAGGCTCCATGCTTTGCTGCTTGCACAGTATGGGGGTCATTTACATCTTATACAAGAAATGGAGGGGATATGTATTCTATGACCCCTCTCTGCGCAGTCAGAGCTGTCTCTGACAGCAGGACCAGCGCTTGCCCTGAAACTCACTGCTGAAGCACATATGAGGGTTGCGTGACAAGGAGGCCAAGGCCACAGGTGTCGCCTCTTCCGCGTCTGGGTTAGACCGTGAGCCCCCACACATACACACGTAGAATGCTCTGCCCCAGCTAGTCCCAGGAAGAATAGACGGAGGGGACAGCGAGGTTTCTGTCCATGGTGCTGAACCCACCTCGGGTCCCATCTCGTTCTTTAGCCCAGCGGCAACTTACAGCCTCCTGGGGAACCAGGTGAACGTACAGATTCCCGAGCCCCTTCTTTGGAGACTGGGATTCTGAGGATCTTAGATGGGGCCCTGGAATCCCATTGTACCAAGTACCCATGATTCTAATGCAGCCGTTCTGATACCGGCTAAAGTTGACTCGCTGAAATGGTCGTTGGTCCTGATGAAGTACCTGCTATGTGCCCAGCGCTGCACTAGATACTGTGAGGCACAGAAATGCACCCAGCAGAGTCTCTGCTCTGGGAGAAACTTACCAAGCATTCCGGAGGAGATGATGGAGGCGAGGATGGAAAGTACTCCCTCTGTTTTATGTGGACACTGTGGTAGGTCCATACCTCACCTTTAGCCTGCAAGGTGTGATAAGGAGTCACCTGAAAACAGTAGTACCCATAACCATAACCAACATTTGTGTCCTTCCTTGGGGTCTCCCCAGCCTTATCTGCAAAGGCGATGTGTGATACATTCTCCTCCTTCTGATCTCCTCATGGCTCGAGACCCAGATCCACCATCACCTCGCACATCAAGTCTGCTTGACCCCTGTTGCCCTGTAGGCCCCCCAAATCCGAGTCCTTCCTCCTTGTGCTCCGCGGTCTTGTTTCCTCATCGTTACATGATGTGCCATGGTTTCAATATGTCCCAACTAGGATCTGAGCTCCCTCTCAAGGGTTGGGCTTGCACCTGATTCCCCTGTGTAACTTCTAACACAGGGATGCCTCCCCCTACTCACCTAGAGGAGGTGAGCAGTAAATTCTTATTGGATGGGTGGCTAGGAGGAGGGGTAAGTGGGTGGGGGAATGTGCCCAATGGCTGTGCTCAGGGAGAAAGCCACTGGGTTACGAAGCAGCTGGAACAAGTGCTCAGAACCAAAAGAAATCAGGGTCGGCCTTGGGGAAACCAGGCAATGGGCCAAATGCCATTCAGGCAGGGCCAGCTTCCGGTCAAGGTCTGCCTCTCCTTTCTCTGGGTGTTTGGGGAGAACAGGAAGTGGAACCAGGACGGCTGTGTCTGATGAGAACAGATGTTATCTGGCCCTGAATGTGGGACATGGGGGAGGGGGAAAGGAAGGGGGAAAGAGAAGGGGGAGATCCAGAGCCAACAAATGGAACATCCACAGACCCACTTTATTTTACTTTCTATTATGGAAAGTTTCAAACACACCCCAAAGTCAAAAGAATAGCATAACGAACCCCCACGTTCCCATCACACAACTTCAAAGACCACCCCTATTTAGCCATTCTTATTTCATTCCTCCCCTCAAGCTCTTTTTAAAGAAAATTCCCGGGGCGCCTGGGTGGCTCAGTCGGTTGAGCGTCCGACTTCAGCTCAGGTCACAATCTCACGGTCCGTGAGTTTGAGCCCTTGTCCGGGCATCTCCTAGGCTGATGGCTCAGAGTCTGGAGCCTACTTCGATTCTGTGTCTCCTCTACCCCTCCTGTTCATGCTCTGTCTCTCTCTCTGTATCAGAAATAAATAAATGTTAAAAAAAATTTAAAGAAAATTCCCAGCGTTGTATCATTTCACACAAAAATATTTCAGAATGTATCTCTTACATATTAGAACATTTCTTATTTAAAAAAAAAAAAAAAAAAAGAACCTCAGGGCACCTGGCTGGCTCAGTTGGAAGAGCATGCAACTCTTGATCTTGGGGTCATGAGTTCAAGCCCCACGTTGGGTGTAGAGATCACTTAAATAAACTTAAAAAAAAAAGAGCCTCAATATCATGATCATACCTAATAAAATTAACAATTTCTTAATACCATCTACGACAAAGCCCATGTCCAAGTTTCCTCACTTTTCGCAAAAACACCTTTTTAGGGGCACCTGGGTGGCTCAGTCAGTTAAACAGCCGACTTCGGCTCAGGTCATGATCTCACACACAGTCCGTGAGTTCGAGCCCCGCCTCAGGCTCTGTGCTGACAGCTCAGAGCCCGGAGCCTGCTTCGGAATTCTGTATCTCCCTCTTTCTCTGCCCCTCCCCGGCTCACTGTCTGTCTGCCTCTCTCTCAAAGATGAACGTTAAAAAAAATTTTTTTTTAAAAAAACACCCTTTTAGTGTCCATTTATTTGAACCACGATCTTAACAAAGTCTATGCGTTGCATTTGGTTCCTATGCCTTTTCAATCTCTTATCATCCGTAACAGTCCTTCCTTCTGCCTTTGATGCTATCTTTACTTGAAGAAACAAAGTCCATCCTGGAGAAGAATCCCCTTTGTGGTGGGCTGAACCCTCATGGTGTCATTTAACACGTTCCACTGTCCCCCCATTTCCTGCAAACTGGTATTTAGATCCAGAAGGTTGGCTGGTGTAGGGTCAACTATTTGGGCCAGCCGACTTCCTGGGTGGTGTTGTTCCTTTCCTATGGCATCATTATCAGGAGCACTGAAGGTCAGATTTCCCCCCTTGGGGTGATACTAAAAATGATGAGCGTCACCAGGCTGATCACCCACCTGGGTGAAACCACCTGGGCATCCACCAGGGGAGACGAGGAGGCCACCGCGGTAACACAGGCGAGACTGACAGTGGCCCGGACCCGGATGGCGGAGTGGAGGTGATGGCCGCTCCAGCACCCCTGCCGTCCCCTTTCACAGCCGAGAACAACTGAACTCAGGGCGGGGAGCTGTTGTTTCTTGAGCAGGCATTACTTGAGCGAGGAGCTTTCTCTGCAGCCTCTCGAAACCGCTCCGCACTCAATGTGAAAGTCACTGTGTCTACCCCACCGGTGGGGCCAGTGAATAGCGAAGTCACCTGCCCAAGGCACAGAGCCAGAGACGGAGAGGAGAGGAGTCTCCGGAGTTGTCCCGCACTTTGCTCCAAACCTTGCTTCTGGCACCTCTAAGCCCTGGGACCCGGACCCACGGCCTTCTTCCTCTCTGGGCCTCAGTTTCCTAATCTACAAAATGGGAATGATACTTGCCCAAGACCAGTACAGGGTGGCCCAACCTTGCCCCTCTCCCCCATCCTGCCCATCCTGCCCGTGGGGCCCACACGGGCCACCTTAGTCCAGAGTGCGGGCAGCTTTATACTCTCCCACACAAACATACAAAGGGTTAAATCCAGACACCCACCCCCTTCCTCCATCCCAATTCTGATCCTTGCTGACTCTGCTCCCCCTCCCTAGCACAGCTATTCTGGGACAATGGAGGCAGCAGATGGCCCGAGCCCTGTTCCCTCCACCGACCCCCAGGATCTGGGAACAACCCGCAAATCTGCTGCTGCTTCTAAAAGCAGGCCGGCCGGCAGCCTTCCACATACAGGGTGGAGGGGACAACAGCTGTGGAGCACATCCCTCCATCCCCCACCAGGGCTGCAGGGCCAGGCCCACCCCTACTCGGTTCACGTCCCACAAACCCAGCATTGGGTTAGCCCAGAAAGAAAGGAGGCCTTGGAAGGGCCCAAGCAGCCCGACTCTGCACTTGACCTGCTGTGTGACCACAAGCACACGGCAGTCCCTCTCTGGGCCTCAAGCTCCTCTGCGGAAACCAGGGCTGAGGCACTGAACTGGCGTTCAGTGGTTCCCAAGACCCCAGACGGAGTGGCATCAGGGACAAGGTTCTTCAAGGGCTGGAGGGTGTGCTCCAAGGAGCCCCCAGCCCTGGCTGTCTGGCTCAAGGCCCCTCCATGCCTCAGGATCTCTCCTCTGTCTTCCCGCCTGCCCCCAGCCCAGAGCCCCATGGTGGCCCGATATCACCGGGAAGGATGCGTGGGGAGAAGAGGCCTCGCATCCTTAAGCCTCCCCAACCTTTGCGCTGGCATTCCTGAAATTTCACCGTGATCACTTTCGTTCATTCATGCAACCTCTTTGGGACCTGCAATCCTAAGGGTCCTCGCATTGATTTATCTCCTACCGTGGCTGTCAAACTGTCCCTTTATCTGACACCAGAGGCTGACTCCCTCAGCTGAGTCTCCTCTCGGCCTCTCCCAATTCTCTGGCTACCCCCAACCCAGGCTCTGAGGGCAGAGAGAAGGGGCAGCCCCCCGCACACCAGCACCTCATGGCACACACGTGTCCTTCTGCGCAGACCTGTGTAGAGAGGGGACGTGCCGCACACACACCCTCGCACACCCATGCACACCCTCACACGCCCCGGCTGACCGTGACCCAAGCACACACTAGTAACGGTCACCGTTCACTGTTCACTGAGCCCTTTCTTCCCTGCGCCCGGCTCTGTGCATTTCACGCAGGTATCAATCCACGAAGAAGGTATTCCTTTTCTTATCTATAAAATGGGCAAACAGGCCAGAGAGACCAAGTGGGCTCCTCAAGGTCACACAGCCGGCAAAGGCAGAGCAGAGACATGTAGCTCAGGGCCCAAACCAACACCACCATCCCCACTGTGACAGGCAGAGCAAAGACCCCGCCCCAGCCAGGAACAGAGTGGCTGCACATCTAACAGGAAACTAGACCAAGAGAGGTTTAAACAAATAAGGGTTTAATTTTCTTACAGAGCCAGATGCCAAAAGGGACAAGCGTGCATGATTGTCATGGCCTTTCCTTCGTGATAACAAGGCAGCCACTCCGGATCTAGACATCGCACCCACATTCACAGCAGGAAGAGGGGATACGGGCCTGGTCTTCCCCAGAAGCCTCTCCAGAAGCCTCCCTATTGGCTTCGTTTAGTTCATACTAATAGACTGAGCAAGGGAGGCTGGGAAAATGACCAAAAAGATCATCACGACCGGCGGGGGTCCCTCATGAACCAGGATCTGAGTCTGGGCAGGCTGATTCTCCAGACAAAATGGGATCTGTTAGCAAGGGGTGGGAGCAAGGAGCTGGAGACTGGTCGGCAACACCCGTATCTGCCACAGACCCTGGATTCTGCCACTATTCCACCTGGGTCCCCTCCGTGGCTGGGACTCCAGCCGAGGGAGCCGGGAGTAGGCCGGCCCAGTGCTTGGCCCCAGGGGGAACGACAGAGACCAGAGCTGGGGGTGGAAGGCCAGACCCCACCAGGGGCCCAGGTAATTCTCTAGAGGGTTAGGACCCCTGAGCCCCAGCCCGGCTCAAGGGCCCCCCACCTCCCCCATGCTTATTCAATCCAGCCACTCAAGACCCACAGAAGCCCAGTCCCTGGGGCCTCTCTGGCCCTCACCTGGTGCACCTGTTCCCCGGGCTGTCCAATCCACTTCCCGGGGGCCTAGCATGCCTTCACTGCCAGCCACCATCCAACCCTGGGCTGGCCCACCGCTCAGAGGCCATGCCAGGGACTGTCCACCAAAGGGCACTTGCCACAGGTCCCCAGGGCTGCCTGGGGAGGCGAAGGATAACCAGAGGCCTCAGCCCAATCTTTGCCCAGCAGTTCAGGGTTCATCTGGCCACCAGCTGTGGGCACCAAGGAGTATCTGGGTAGAGGAGACAGTGGAGGGAACGAAACCTGTGGAGAGACCAGAAATGGGCAAGATGGTCACCCTGACCCCCAGGCTCAGTCCACGGGCTCCTGGGCGCCGGGCACACGCCCTGATGGTTTGGAGAGGAACTTCTCCACCACGGCACTATTAAAATTTAGGGCCAGATAATTCTTTGTTGTGGGGTGGTCTATGCATGGTAGGATGTTTTGCAGGCCTCGGGCTCACCCGCTTTTAGCCAAAAGAATCTCCCCCTGACTCATAACAATCAAAACTGTCTCCTTGAGGGGCTTGGGTGTCTGAGCTGCCGACTGCTCAGGGTCATGATCTCATGTCTGTGGGTTTGAGCCCCACATCAGCTCTGCATTGACAGCTCAGAGCCTGAACCTACTTCGGATTCCGTGGTTCTCTGCCCCCTCCCGCTTCTCTCTCTCTCTGTCTCTCTCAAAAATAAATAAACATTGAAAACACTTATGACAGCTTCATTTGGTGAGCCAGGATTTGCTGCCCGGCTCACAGCTCAGGTCATGCTCAAGACTCATGAGTTTACCACTCTCAAAGATCAGGGCTCATGTTGACAGTTTTGAGTTTGATTGTTGGGATTCTCAGAGTCTTCTTTTCTGCTTCTGCCCCCCTGCTCATGCTTGCTCTCTCTCTCTCAAAAATAAATAAACATTAAAAAAATGTTTTTTGTATCAGACAAGCATGTCCTCATGGGCGGCGTGATTGAAAAACCTTCAACTGCTTAGGAGAGACTTCAAGGGCCAGAGATGCCATGAGGAGACCCCAGCCGAGGCTAGACTATCCGATCACATGTACCTGAGCCCGCAGTCAGCTCCAGCTCTTTTTTTTTTTTTTATTTTTTTTTCAATCTTATTATTTTTGGGACAGAGAGACAGGAGCATGAACGGAAGAGGGCAGAGAGAGAGGGAGACACAGAATCGGAACAGGCTCCAGGTTTCAGCCATCAGCTCAGGAGCCCGAGCATATGGGGCCGGAACCATGATCACAGATCGCGGATCTGGCTGAAGTCGGACGCTTAACCGACTGCGCCACCCAGGCGCCCCAGCTCCAGCTCTTTTAGGCAGGAACCTTTGGATTCTAGAATCTTCAGGCTTAGAGAGATATAGCCACAGCACGTACACCCTCACTGATGAGGAGCCCACCCCCATTAGAAGGCAGCTGCTCCCTTCATCTTAGAAATCTGAATTTTTTCCCTATGTTGAGCCAAACTCTGCCTCTTTGTAATGGCCAACTTGTTCGATGCAGCCCTGGGCCCAGGGCCCTTGAACGGTTGTGAGCCCTCTGCTCCACGCAGACCGCTCTGCACGAGTTCAGAGCCAGGCAGCCTGGTTCCCCCAGGGGTTCCATTTCAGGTCAAGCCAAAGTCCAGACCGAGCCTACAAGGCCTTGGGGAGTCCTCTGCCCCATCTCCAACCAACCACATTGGGCAACTCTCTCCCCTTTCTTCTGCGTGTCAGCCACACCGGCTTCCTTGAGCAGGCCCGCCCTCCCAGCACATCGAGTCACAGGCTGTGTTCTCACAGGCCTAATGTTCCTGTGGCCTGTTTGAGAGCAGAACCGGAAGGTGCCTCGGGGGCATTTTAGCCTTCTTTCCAACCATCTACCCACTGAAGAGAACCACGGAAGAGTATCAAGGAAACACAGAGCCTACAAAAGCTCAAATAAAAATTTCCCATCGGGGCCTGAAGTTCTTCCATTAGAGCATCTCCTCTGCTCAGCGAAGACATTTCAGTCTTCCAGGGGCTCCTGAAGAATCCCAGAGGATCAGGACGGGGAGAGCCCTTCAGATCCACAACACGCTGCCTCCCTGTGTTACAAATGGGGAGACCGAGGCCCAGAGAAAGCAAGGTATTTGCCCAAGGTCACACAGCAATCCTGGGGCAGAGCAGGGACTGAAATGCATTCCCTCGGCTCCCGGTTCTCTGCTCTCAGCCGCCAGGGCCCTCCTTCCCTTCGGGCTCTCCCATCTTTGGACGCCTGGATTCAGCTCCCTGTCATCCAATCCTACACTTTGGGCCCCCGGACTCACCTGGAAGGGTCCTCCTCAGGGGAGAAGGGGCCTTCTAGCTTAATGACATTGAGCTTCCCCTCAAAGACGCCATAGCTGAGGGTGACCTGGGCAGAGAAAAGCGAGCCAGGAAGTTCAGGTTGGCCAGGTGTCCCTCAGGGGACCCCACAAGGGGGCAGTGTTTGCGCAGAAGCAGGGAAGGCACATAAGACATCATGAGGGGCACGCAGAGCCTGCCTCTGTACCTGAAACCCCACCCTTAGCCCTGACAGCTTCGCTGAGGAGCCCACCCCACTCCACAAGGCTCTTCAAGCTTGTAGGGCACGGCCATGCCCGGATTCCATTTGGGTGCCCAACAGTCCACCCTACCTGTGACGCTGGAATGAGTCCCTTGCCTACAGACTAGGAAACTGAGTCGCGAAAAGGGAAGTGAGTTCCAGCAAATTCCATGCCTGGACAGAGGTTTCCTGAGACTCACGGCGGGGCCATGGCCCTCCCTCTCCTCCAGGAGCTTCAGGTCACTCTACTCGCAGTGAGGACATGAGATGATGCCCCTTGTCGAGGGACAGCAGAGCGCAGCGGTTAAAGACTGTAGGCTTAGGGGCCATCCAGGCAGGGCTCAAATCCCCTTCATGCCCCGTGCCATGGTTAGTTCAGCTCTCTGGCCTCAGTTTCCCTACCTACAGAATGGGAATGTCAGTGAACATTCCTCACGTGAACGTTGTAAGGAACCAGAGAGTACAGCAGATAAAGCCACCGGCCTGGTGCCTGGCACAGTGAGGATTCTGGAAATCCCAACCGTTAGGGTACCTGGTTTCGGTTGTCCCAAATCTGTCCCCCTCTTCCTGGCTTCAGGCCCTGCAGTCCCATTGGGACCAACCCTGCCGGCAGAATCAACACTAAGTCTTGGCCCTGGTAGGAGACAGGTGTGACCCAAGCAGGCCTTCCAACCGACGAGCACCAGCCCCGGGACTGGGCGGAAGGGGGAGCTCTCCTCTGGTGGGTGCGGTGGAACCCTGGGGCTGCCACCCCGCCAGCATGAGGGGCGAGCCTGCCTTGAGGGTTGGAGGTGGGCAGGGCTGAGTCGCTGTGTGCCCTTCTGAGGGTCCTTTGCCACTGTGGGCCTCGGTTTCCCCATCAGTAGGGGACAGCCCCACCCGCACCCTTCCCCCACTGCCCCGAGGCCAGCTCACCTGCTCTGGGAGCTGGGCGGCCCCCAGCAGCTGCAGGGTCTCCAGGTGGGAGTGGAAGAGGGGGCTGGGCTGCAGGTGGCCACCCAGCTTGCACTCGACAATGTAGCCCACGGTGCAGTCGTCGGGCAACCGGATGAGCGCGGCTGTTTCCACGAAGCGGGAGCCGCTGAGAGACAGAGCCGTGCTGTGGCCACCGGCCCAGGCCCTCGGCACCTAGAGCTCTCCCTGCCTCCCAGAAGGCCCTCCCTCCACCAGGGCCAGCTGCCTCCTGTGCACTGGGTGACCTCGGGCAAGCCACCAACCTGGGGAGCCTCAGTGTCCTCTTCTGTGAGATGGGCGTGATAACGGCCCTGCCCTCACTGGGCCATTGTGTAGATTAAGAGGAAGAGTGGTAAGAAGCAGCCCCCTTCTAAATGTATCCCTTCTTTTCTTTATATGCATTCACTCATTCATTCATTCTTTGTTGAGCTTAAGGATCTAGCTGGTGCCAGGTGCCATGCTAGGGCTGCGGATACAGAGATGAGAAAGAAATGCTTGCTGCCCTCTTCTGAAGGGAGACGGAGGGACAGGTCGTTTCAGACTAAGACTGGCACTAAGAGGGAAGCATGAGGCCTGGGAGACACCGGGAGGGTAAGGTGGGCTTCCCAGAGGAGGTGGCAGTCTTTTGTTCTGCTTTTTATGTCACCCTGACAGTGGCAGTCTTTAAACGGAGTCGCACAGGGTGTTCTGGAGTCAGCCAGATGTCGAGGAGGGGAGGAGCAGTGTCCCAGGTTAAGGGCACCACCTGACTGCATACCCCACGAGCTCCCCCGGGGGCCAGCCTGCCCCACTGCACAGGGGGCCCAGTGGGTGCAGAAGGCCCGCCTTCCCTCCCCATCCCAGCCCGTGCCCGAGGGTTGCACCTGCCCGGAGGGGTTACCTTTCCCAATTCACACAAATACCCCGTAAAGGTGGGCAGAAGCCCAGATGGGGGCACCAGGCACAGGGATGTCCCCTGGTCACGAGTACATATCTGCCGT